CCCCCCCCTCCGCCGCAGTACATGGGAAGCAAAAGTTTTCCTCCTCCTCTCTTCCCTCCGCCGGTTCCCCTCCGCCCAGGCAGCCCCGAGCGAGCCGTCTCCCGGGCCGCTCCCCCGGAGCGGTTTGCAGCCGCAGGATGCGCCTGCCGGCACCTCGGCTGCTCCGCTCGGACACCGGCGTTGTGCTGCGCTTCTCTCCGATGGGCAACGAGGAATAAAACGTTGCTGGAGCGTCTTCCGCTTCTCTGAGGGCTGGAAAGGAGCGAAGGCGAGACTTTGATCGCGTCTTGCAGAGGGATCTGCGAATTTGCGGAGGAAAGGGGCTGTTGGGCAAAAATAATCAGATGCTTTAGCAGCGCCGGAGAGGCAGCGCTACATCGTTTTGCTTCGGCCCCGTCATGGGTACTGGCATGTGTTCGAGGAGGCAGAAGGGGCTTCTGCAGACTGCGTTTTGCCTGGTGACTATGGCATGTTTGGGCTCGGGAGTTTTCATGTACAGCCACTTGCAGCAAAAGGTGCGGAACGCTGAAGCCCTGGCCCAGAAATACAAACAGCAGCAGGAAGCGCTGTCTGCCCAGCTCCAAGGTGAGTGACCTGCTCTGTGTGTGTGTGTGTGCACGCACACTGTCGAAATTTCCCTCTCCCCCAACATTACCCGCTGGTGTTTTTGCTCCGCAGCCCGGCGACAAGCGGGGTGCCTTTGTGGAGCAAGGTTCAGCTTTTGGCTTTAAAGAGCTCTAAGAAGACGTTGTCGCTTATTTCCTTCCCCCTTTTGCTGTCTAGAATTAGAATAGCCTCGAATCTGAATTGCTGTCACAGCAGCAAGGGGAACGGAGTGTGCTGGATTGGTGAGTTCAGCTGCGTCACGTCTATTCCATTTCTTCTCCCTGTAGTTCCCTTTGGCTGTAAAGACTAGTCCTATGTCATTCTAAACGTGAAGCAGTAAAAATGCAAACAGGACTTAGGGAGCCTGGTTGGGCAGGCTCTGAGATGCGGCTCCGCTCTCTAGCCCGCGGGAGCATCTGTCCAGAAAGTGAATAGAGAGGCAAGGGGTCCTTTAGTAAAGTTTGTCGTCACACTGCCTACTGCCCATTGCATTTGCAAGGAAACAAACCTATCTTCTCAAGAGAGTGATCTGTGACTAGAAAAGTCTTGCCAGCTTGTTTGGGGCCGATAGATGCTGCAGCACAGAGCTCCCTAAAAAGGGGGGAGGAGAAGGAAGAATTGGTTTTTCTGAGCCCGCTGACCAGCACTTGGTTCCTCTGCCAAGACCTGCCAGAAGACCAGAAGGCGACCGTAATATGTATATTCCCCCTCATTTGTCCTCCCTGCATAAATGTCTAACTGTGGGAAAATGACATTTTAGCCCATGGAGAGATCTCGGTAGGGAAGGCTGAGCATGCGTGTTACTCTGTAGCTGAACTCTTACCTTCCTTGTCTAGTCTATCATTCTAGCCTTCCTGCATCTGCCAAAGCTATGTTTCCAGCACCTATCACTAGATTTGGAGTCTCTAGAGGGATTTGCTGACCTCTCTGTGGAGAGGTTTGGTGGGAATCCACTCTTTGGTAGCCAGCAGTTGGGTGCGTAATGCTGGAGGACGGGTTGGTTCTGGGGTGCCCACAGAATGAATTTTATGTGGACCAAATATTGTTTGCCTGTGGCTCTAGTGACTCAAGGTCAAGTTTTTCTTCTAACAAGTGGGTTTAGATTATAGTGTTTAAATAGAGAGCTCTTCAGGCTAAAATCAATTACAGGGTATCCATTATGACCTCTGTTGACATATCCAGTGACATTGTTTCTATAGCCTGTATTGCTGGGGAATTCTGCAGATCTGTGACTCAACACTTGTGCCTTTTAGGGTTAAATCTCTGCTGGTGGTTTTGTGTGCAGTGTTGTGATGCAAATGTAACATTGTACATATGCTTCTTGTGCTCAGGGCTGTGTATTTCTACCTGTAAGCTGGGAAAGTGATGTGTGTGTTTTGTTTGTCTTCCAAGGAAACATGCTTTAAAAAAAACAATCAATCTTGTGAATTGATCTAGTGTGTGAAGATCTAGAAAGAGTAAAACCTGGGACTGTTGGCAAGACTGGAATCACTCTCCCTTTATGGATCCCTTAAGCTCTCCCTGGCAGATGCTTATCTTGGTACTCTGGGGTATATGAGGCAACCCCTTCACACAATGGCCCTGTTTTCTGTGGTCTTTTAAAATGAGAATGAGTCTGTGGAAGGCCTGACCTGTTCTTCTTTCCCAAAGGCAAGGCACTGCAAGGGATTTCATTGTTTCAGCAGGTTCACTGCTATTATCTTATGTTTTGTTTCCATTTCTTCTTTCTCTATCACAAGGCAGTCAAACAGCCACAGCTCCTAATGTGTTGCACGGTCCCAGCCACAGCGATTTCCACCTGCATCCTGTGTTTCTGAGATGCAAAGATCAGCAGGGCAGAAGTTAGCCCACATTCCTTTCTGGTGTGTCAGCATCTCTTGCTTCTCTTGGAGAGAGGGGCTGGTTCTTCAGAGAATAAGACGACAGTGATAGCCTCAGGGAACCCCAGTTTTGGGAACAGCAGACTCAAGCAAACAACTGAGACAGGCTCACAATATTTTTTTCCACCCAAATATGTTTGAATGGCAGAGCTGTAGCCTGTTGCTGGGGTTTCTAACCCTCTGTCAGTCCTCCCATTCCTAAATACAGTTGTTGCCATGGATACCCTTTTTATTTTGAGAAGACACTTACTTGTCCAACAATTTTAACAAAGGCAAAGCTTCTTTTTGGATTTGGCTGGTGGGAGAAGCCTAGCGACTGGCAGATAGGAGCCATGTTCATGGAAGTCTTAAAGTGCAGTGGTGTCTTGCACATGTGGCCGTGGCTCTCGTGCCGTTGTCTTGCAGCGCTGTTCCCTGCAGTGCTTTGGTGCTGAACACAGGAGAGTGGGGAGTCCGGGCTCTATCCCTGCCCCTCTGCTGACTTGTTGCATGACTTTAATTGCCATGTCTTCTGCATCCGATTTCTGTCTTTCCCGCTCTACAAAAGGAGGATGTGTTATTCTGAGGTGGAATTCAGTACTGTTTAACTAGTGCTTCAGGTGTCTCCTTTCAGCTCTCAAGTATTTCCTACCCTTATTATATCTGAGTACAATATATGGTTAATGCTTCTGGTAGCCTCTGTAAATAAGGCTTGAAAGTGTAGGGCTGGGCCAAGAGTTGAGTGAAAGGGAAAAGGAAAGCAAGTGGAGGAGGGAGCGAAGCTGTCTTGAAACCAGCACCGCCTGTCCCACGTGCTGTCTTCTACTGGCTGCACGCAGGGAAATGGATCTCATTTACTCTCTTAAAATAAGAGTGAAGCAGCTGCTGACTTTGCTGTAGGGTAAAACACATTGTGTGAGAAGAAGAAAGGGAGGTATTGTCATGTGTGTGACCCTCTCCAACCTATTGCCTGGTGGTTAGTACCCCTTGTCCCGGCCAGCTCTTGCTGCTGCACACAGAGGTAGCTGTTTGCTGTGACCCGGTAGACCCTCTTTTGATACTGTGGTCCAGATGGAATCCAGGAGGAAAACCTGCTTGGCTTTTTTGTCCCTCCATCTCTTCTGTTTCTGCTGGGTGGGGTTGGAGGTATGTCTGAAAGTGCATGGAGACACCTTGCCAAATACTGGGCTCTCCCTTACAGGCTGTGATTTGGGGGACTCTGGTGCTGTGTCACAAGGCTCAGAGGGGATTAGAGACACAGTCTGGCAAGCTGTGACCTGGTGTGCACTTCAGATGAATCTGTTCTGTCTTGGCCCCCACCCCAAACTCATGCCATGCTGAGTTATGTAGCAGGTGGCTTTAAATGAAGTGTTGCTTTGCCACCTCCCACTTCCCGTAGGTGTGTGTGCCTGTGTATGTATGAGCGTGCTGCTGCCTGGAGGTTCTGAGTGAAAGTAGAGAGATGTTATTTCAGTCAGTTCAACTAACAAACGGCACTCCTTGAACAGTTGGGAAGGAAGGGTGCGTTCATAGTACCATCCACTTCTCTCTGCCATTCCTGATGTGGCCTGCCAATGGCACATCAAACTGGTGTCTGGGACAGAGGCATTTTCTCTCTCACAACAGGCTGCCATTGCACAGTGGCTGAGCATGAGAACGCAGCACTCCTGTCCTCACCATTGGGTGTCTCTTACCCAATCTGTCTTTCCTTTGCCATCTCTCTAGAGCAGAGAGGGAGGTATGATGAGTCTGGCTTTCGTTCTGCTCCCCTTGTCCCCCGCTCTGGATGATTCTTGAGCCTGAGTGACTGGTGCCATGGGTGATTAGTTGTGATGTGACTGGATGGAGGCTGGCAGGAGTATTTGATGCCTGTAACAAGGACAGCAACAGAGAAGAAAGCTTTTTCTGGGTGATTAGCTATGAGAAGGGAAGGAGCATGGTGCAGTCTGGAAGTTAGTGTTGATCTCTGTGCCAAGTGCTGCTTGGAGCTGTGAGCCATGGGCAGTGTGATGGCTCTTTCCACGGTATGTGCTACTGGCATAGAAATGGCCTAACAAACTATGCACCGTGTGTAGTTTTAGCAGAACCAGAGCAGCAAATCTGATGCCTCTGCTGCCTTGCTCCATGAAAGCAGGGAGCTAGCATGCACTCGTGGCTTTCCCGGGTGGGGTAAAATGAAACCACTTGAACAGAAGGAGAGTAAAACCTGGGACTGTTGGCAAGACTGGAATCACTCTCCCTTTATGGATCCCTTAAGCTCTCCCTGGCAGATGCTTATCTTGGTACTCTGGGGTATATGAGGCAACCCCTTCACACAATGGCCCTGTTTTCTGTGGTCTTTTAAAATGAGAATGAGTCTGTGGAAGGCCTGACCTGTTCTTCTTTCCCAATGGCCCTTTTCTGTGGTCTTTTAAAATGAGAATGAGTCTGTGGAAGGCCTGACCTGTTCTTCTTTCCCAAAGGCAAGGCACTGCAAGGGATTTCATTGTTTCAGCAGTTCGAGCCCTGCATTTTATCTCATTTGGCAGCAGGTGATGGTGCTTTAGTGCTGAGTTCTGGCTGAATTCCAGCCTGGATTTGGACACTGACCACCCTCCATTCTCTCTTGTAATTGCAAATTGTTAAAGACTTCGTGGCTTCCTGTCCTCTGAAGCTCTACAGTGCCATTTTGGTCTGCTAAGTTCTTGTTGTATTTCACCACAAAGATGAGCAGAGAGACTACTTTATGCAGCACTTACTCGCTGCTTTGTGTAAAGCTGAACCCACCTTTTCTGGGCTCTGGAGACCTGGAGGAATGGCAGGAGACATTACAACTTTTTTTTGCTAGTCACTGAAGGTTACTTCAGCTTATCTTATAAAAAAAAAGTGTCAGGAGAGCCAGAGTTTGTGTCCTAAATTTCTGAATAAACAGCCTATGATATGGAGCTGTTCCTGAAGACTCATCTGCTTTGTGGTGCTTGCATTAGAATTTGTGGTTATGAGTGTTAGCACAAGCCCATTGCTGTAGATGCTTTCCTGTGCTTTAGTTTCCCATTTACTATGCGAGATCAATAGCAGCCGGTAGCTTGGGGTCATCTAAGCAGACCTTTTCTACACAAAATAGTTATTTACTTGCCCGGTCCTGTGCCGAGAGTGCTTGGGTTTTTTGAGTGAGGCTGTAGCTGTTCAGCTTGCCCCCTGTGGTACACTGTGCACTTTGTTCTGGGTGATGGAGCCCAACTGTGCTGTCAGTGGGGCTGGTCACTGCCTCAGTTGCCCTGAGTTCTTCAGCTGCAGGAACCTGGAGAGGTGGGTAAGCTGCCCGTGTGGGGTGAGTTTCTAACCCTGGTCGTAGACTCTGTTTTCTTTCAGTATACTCATGTTACTAGAAAATGAAATGGCTGCAGGAGAAGCTCCAACATGGGGAATTCCTCCAAGCCAGAACCGCTGAGGCAAATGCAGACTGGAAGCTCAGAGTACGTGAAAGGACATGGAAAAGCCTGTGAATTGCTGAGCATCCCTAATAGTCGCAGCAGCCATGACTTTTGCTGGTGTGAGGTTCCCATCACATCAAAGACTTGTCCTCAGGTCCTCTGCTAGATAAGAAAGTGAGATGCCTGTGGTAGAAACATGAGTGCCCAGAGCTCAAATCTTTTGGGAAGTGGCTGATGTTCTTAAGAGGACAATGTCATTCTTCACATAGTGAAGAAGCACCCACAGTCTCTTTTGTGCTTAGCTGGGCTGGGGAAGCCCTCAGGGTGACATCTGAGTAGTCTGTTGGGAAAAGTGGTTCTAAAAATAAAGCTGTCATGAAGTAGACACTTGGACAGCTGCAGTGATGGGCTTGCTGCTTACCAATGTGCTCAGCAGGGGAAAAAATCCTTCCAGATTGAAAACAAATACTTCTGCTGTAATGGTTTGGAGAATACGGTAGTTTCCTCACTTTGGAAGAAAATATTAATGAAGTGGCTCGGCCCAGGGGAAGCATCTTCACCATTGGGGTGTCTGCCTTTGTTAACTAGGGAAGGTAACAAAGAAGAGGAAGGAGATAGCATGGCTGGTGACAGTAGGAATTCCTGACCTAGGACACTGGCCCTTCCTGCTCCCTGAGGGAGGTCAAAAGTGACAGAGGGAATTAGGTGGGTCAGGGGAGACAGCTTGGATGTGAATGTATGCCTGGGGAATGGCTCCTCAATCTGGGGTGGGACTGAGCTTGGCACATGATGAGCCCAGAGCCTAAAACATAGTCCTTGTACCTGCAGTGTCTAAAAACAGCATAGTCCGGGAAAAGCCAACTTGTCTGTCTTGTCCTGCTGAAGCCTTGATTTCAGTACAGGAAAAGTCATGGCCTGGAGGCACTGAAGTTGCTCCACAGGGGACAATGGGATACTGAGATGTTTGGATTCAGTTTGTGTCTTGAAGCTGGAGCCTCAGCTCCAGCTACCCTCAGTATCTAGGCTGCTTGCCTACCTGGCTAGCTGGGGTAGTGCCCCCAGAATGCTTAGGAAGCAGTTGTACTACAGTCGTCAAAACCCCTAGGATTCAACACTTTACCATGCCTGGCTCCAGATATCCCTTCTTCTTTTTCCCCCGATTTGCTCAGGCGCTCAGCTGTTGCTGGAGATCACTGTAAATATTAACAGATCCACTGCTGGTAAACCAAAGTATTGCAAAAATCCCAAGCTTGGACCTAGCCAATGTCATGAGCTTGGCTTAAAAATAATGGATTTAAACCATGTGGAGGTTCTTTTTCTGTGTGGAAAAGGCATTTCCAGGTGGGAAGAAAGACAGCAGTCATTGTGAGGGTCTTGGTAAAGCCACCAGACTTGGATTTGTTGTGATCCAACAGAAGAGAAGTATGCAATAGTGAACCAGGCTTTTAAAGAAGCTGGATAAAATGGTTAGACTGTACTCTCAGGTCTACCCTGCATGAAATTGCAGGGCGATGTGGCTCATAAAGGTGAGGAATGCTTCCCTTGAATGCCCAGCTTTGATTAAAAAGCTCTTGAAGAATGGTCCTGGCAGCAGTGCTTTGCTGCCTGGTGAAATTAGAGTCTTCCATGCACTTAGTGTAATTAGGAGACCTGCTGTGAGGAAGACACAGTCTACAAATGCAAGGAATAGATGCCATTTTGCAATGCAGAAGGAAGAGGTGAGGCATAGGGAGGCTGTGAGTTCTGTGGAGTTCTGAAGAACCAGGTGGCTTGAATTCCCTGCCTGGGGAGAAATGGGTGGGTCAGCAGAAAAAGTGGTTTTCTTTGGGTGGGTTTTTTTGTTTGTTTTCCTTCAGGGGCTGCAGAGGTGTCAGACTTGCAGATGGCAGGGCAAGGAAGGACTATTCTGATCACAAAGTTTGATTTTTGTATAGTCCCTACCTCAGCCTTGCAGTTCCTGGCTGATCTTTAGTATTGTTTAGAAAAATGTCCTAGCCTGATTTTTAGGATGCTAGAACTGCCTATGAGCTCTTCTCTACGTATATATTGAGAGCGACATCTGCACTACCATAGGCTTGGTGCCACTGATGGTCAACACTAAAATATTAGATATGCATACGGATGTTTTGTCTCTTATTTCCCCAGGTTGGAGTGTCTGCTCTCAGGCAGCAAACCACCTGTTAATGCAGGACATACACTGCCTTCGCTGCTCCTGTATGACCTGAGTGGAGCTGGCAGTCTCTATAGATGCACTTGCAGTGAGAGCACAAGTCACTTGGGGCTCTTGGCTTGGCAAGAGTTCAACAAGGAATGGGTTAGCACTTGTTTTATGCATGCAGATATCATCCCCCTTTGTTCATTTACCTGGAGACTGTGCATCATGGCACGACTCGCCCCTAAAGATCTTGGCTCTGGAGGCAAGTTTCTTTTATTGCCCTTCCCCTCCGAATTGCTGCCGAGTGCCATTCTGGCATGGTGGCAGTCTCTGTGCAGAGGGGATGGAGGAGCCTGTTACAGCTGAGTGCTGTGACTCAGGGAAAGCTCTTGGTTAGCATTCAGACATCAGAGTGGATTAAAATCACCATCCATCAGGAAGCTTCTCTGGCACTTTCATTTGTCCTGTGGCTGCTGTATGAAGCAGCCTTATCCCTGAAGCAGCCTCATCCCTCTCCCTTCTCAGCTCCTGTGCAGAGTACAGATATCTCTTGTGTGTAATGGGAGAGGGAGCTGCTTGGCTCGCTTTTCCTTAGTGGCCTGAGGGACAGTTAATGGTTGGGTTGTGGAAGGGGAGAAAATGTCTCTCCTGCATGCTGCTGATGCCTTTACAGAGCAGATGACCTGGAAGGCTCTGGCTATCTTGAGCCTGGTGGTGGACTTGGGCCTGCTGTTGTGGTTTAACTCCAGCTGACAACTAAGCCTTGCATAGCCGCTCGCTCACTCCCCCCCGGTGGGAAGGGGGAGAGAATTGGAAGAGTAAAAGTGAGAACTTGTGGGTTGAGATAAAGACAGTTTAATAGGTAAAGGAAAAGCTGCGCACACAGGCAAAGCAAAACAAGGAATTCATTCACTCCTTCCCATGGGCAGGCAGGTGTTCAGCCATCTCCAGGAAAGC